GGATGGATGGATGGATGGATGGATGGATGGATGGATGGATGGATGAGAGAGAGAGAGAGATCCATCCATCCATCCATCCATCCGTCCATAGCCAGTGTGATGTTACATGTTTTTTTAGTAAAAATGTAATGATATATATATCCTACAGTTACCAAAGTAATTCAGTACACACAGACACACAATACACAAATATTATATGTTTATTACTTATATCACATAATTAGAATAAGAGTTATAAACCGCCGTACTAAACCAGAGCAGAAGTTTCTGTCTCCAGCAGGATTCTCCTTTTTCTTCTTTTTTTCTTCTTTTGGATATACTGTAATATAAAAGATTTGTACTTTGATGTCAGATAAACAAATCCATAACTGAATGTGAACCATGCCCATAATAGGTCCGTGCAGAATATAGTCACCGACTGAAGGAGGCAAAGATGCTAGAGAAACACATCATCCAGGCGAGGGCACGGGCCACTGCAGAAGAGGAAAGGCTCTTGAGCTTGTATGAGACCGGAGTTCCAGAAGCCGCCTGTCAAGCTGCATTGCCATCAGGTGAAGGGAATGAACATTTTCCATGTTCCGTTTTATTCTAATATCACTCAAACCAAAGGAAAATGCCCTTTGGTTCACAAGAAAGGCATTAGGAAGGATTTGATTTGACCTTGTTAGTACGGGGGGCATTGATGCCAGGCAGAGGAATCCTGTTTGGTTGGTTCACTATAAAATTTGAAGAATCAGAATTAGGATGAAGAAGCAAAAGAAGCAGTCTTTTTAGCCCTCTGCTCCCACTTTTCACCCCAGGATAATTCCTGTGAAAATTATCTGCCTCCAGAGCTATTGCTCCTTTTTTGGGGGGCGTGAAAATCGATTCCTGGCCTCCGCTTCCCTTCCAAAATATTATCCTCTTCTTCTGTATGTCGCAGTAATGGAAACAGCTTATTTCCAGACACTTACCTCCCTTAAATGCACATGTCCCTAGTGAAATCTACCTTCCGATGGTGTGTGGATGATGCACTTCTCAAGAAGCACCATTTAATCTGTCCTGAAGATTACATCACAGATCCAGTAGTTGTTACCCGCGCTCCGAAAGGTAACTAAAGAGACTGACCTGACTGTCCAAGGACACGGTGTATGGTAATGCCTGAAAGTGTATGAAATTGTTAGTTTTTAAATGCATGTATGGGCAAATGCAATGAAAAATGGTTACCACTTATTGAAGCCATTGTGTAAAAATTTTGTGTGTGTGTGTATGTGTACACACACACACACACACACACGAAGACTTTATGTATCATTATTGGTAGTGTATTGTTTGCTTGCTTCCCTTCATTTCCTTCCTTCCTTCCTTCCTTCC